GCCGTCCGGTTGGCTTATCTATTATTATGTGTAAGTGGCAAGCGCCTAGAAATTTTTAATCGGTTCAACTTTTGGACCCAGCGGGTCAATAGTGCGTGCTGTATGATGCAGCAGACTTGCGTGTATCTGTGTTATAATTATTGGTTTTACAAACTACAAATTATAATAATATGTCGTGTGTGTGATTTCATTTTTTGTGTTGGACAACACTTTTTAGAACATAATAAATGCTTTTACATTGGGGGTGGTTTCAGGTATATCTATACAATTTGATCTAGTTAGTACTTATATGAGGAGATAAAAAGTAGTCAAGTCCGAAAATTATTTCTTAATTGTGAAACACACTACCTATATAACAAACAGCAACGGAAAATGGGATTATAATTTATGTACGACGCACCAATTTTCGACAGGATCAATTTTAGTTATTTCGCTGTAGGTATATCAAAATATTAAGTATTAATCGTAAAAATTTGAAACTTTTTATCAATAGGTACCTATAGAGAGCATTTATATATACATATTATTTATATTATCTAGGCTCCCTATAGGTACATATATGTATGTTAATATTATTTTCTATATTCTATAAAGTTTTCAAAATATTTAGAATAATTTTATGCTACCTATTTAAACTGATAAGTGATAACCGATGGCCAGCTATTCACACCATTTTACGTAGTAAGTTCGTATTATATTATGAGTTAATAACAATTAACAAATAATAAAATATTAATAACATAAAATGACGTACCTACGTACTAAAATGTCCATTAATAAATTCAGGGCCGAACCAGTGGTTTACTGTCCCTGAAGATAGCAGTGTGCCGCTTTCCTCGTTTGGGTCGTGGGCCGGTGACACGTAGTCTTATTAACAACAAATATCCGGAATATCTCGTATACCGGTATACGGTATTCATAAATATAGGTACCAATATATTTAATATAATACGATTTGAAGCAATAGGCTGTTGCATCATAATTGTATGGTGATGAGCGTGGTAGGCAAGTGGGATATAATATGAGCGACCGGCCCATGCAAGCTGTCGATAATGGTCTGTCTTCGTCACTTAAAATCAGTATACCTAAGCATAGAAAATATAGTACCTACCTATAAAATAATAATTTAATCACACTAATGGCTATACGACTAATGTCAAAATATTATTAAACAGGAAACTGCGAACATGCTTTTAGTATAGGTAGGTACCCTTTAAGGCTTTAAATAATAAAAAATCGATTACATTAGGTACCTATTTAATCAAGAATGCTTTTAGAAGTTTTTATGCTATGATTGATGTCAGCAGAAAAACAAGTTAGGAAAAAAAGAGGTTGATTTTCAAGATGTCTATGATATGTTAAAACATTTTTTGTCACTTTTATTAAAATTATTATACTAATTGACATAAGTTTTAATATTTAATTTGTTTATTTTGAGTTTTACCTAAGTAAATAAATAAAGATACCGAGGAGTGAATTAAGCGGACTTGGTAGTCACAATATGTCTTATTTTGTATCTTTACAAATAATAAATGCAGACATGCAGTGTTCAAGGCTAGAATAAATTTTTTAAAAAAATGTATGTTTTGGGGATCTTAAAAAAACAAATAACAATAATAAAGGCTGAAATCTATGATGTAAGACAGGACCTCAACCCTCTCCCATATATTATATACGATATTGTAGGTACACAATTGTGTATAAATATTTGTTAAACACTATAAATGCATCTAGGAATCTGGAATCTGGGCAAAGGCCAGAGTAGAACTGTCGTTATATATACTAACCTGCAGACGGCACAGTAACCATAGTCGGTACATAGGTATAGGTACCTATAAAATCCGTATATTATCGTCTCCACTCAGATTAGTTTTTCATATAAAATGATTTATCATTGAATTCAAATTTCAAATTATCATATTATGTATAGTTGGGCTCAGCCCGTATTCTTGATAATAAATAAATAAATAAATAAAATAAGTAGGTACTACAATTTATAGGCTAACAATTCAATGACGATCGTCGGGTTCCACTCTAAAGTCGAAACCTGCAATACATCAGTGACCAGTTTTTTCAATCTTAAATTCTGTGTAAAATATAATGCAGGACTTATTTTGCAAGCAAGTACAAATACAAACATCAGTCATCGATATGGTACGGAGACAAATATCATTCTATCATTTGACCGGAACTTGTTAAAAAGCCCTACTCCTATATAGCTCGCTGACCGTTGTATTTCATTTTGGTAATTGCCACTTATTTATTCAGATGTGATTTTTCTTCTGTTTGGAAAATATGAAACACAATAATAAATTAATGACGTTTTGTTTTTAGATTGATCAATACCTACTCAATAGTTTTATCTTTCATGTTTACATTGAAATTTGAAACGTGAATATTCCATTATTTAGACGGTGCTCGACGTAATACGCTAACGTAACAAAAGTTGTATATGAGTTGTTGGTGGTATATACGTACAATATATAAATATATAATCATTAATCAAGGCTTTCAGGCTGATCCAGTGATCCCTCTATTACGTATAAATGTATAATGCCATAACTCGCTGAAAAGTTTTAAGAGGACGCTTTACCCGCATGCGTTGTCTCCGTCTTACAAATATAGGTAGGTCGACATAGCAAAAAACTGTTTTGCGGGGGCCAAGGGATACAACCACTCATTCGGTATTTATAGTAGAATTAAAAAAATTCCAAAACGCATAAGGAACAACTTTATCTATGTCGTAGCGTTTTAATTTTTTGATAGCATTTACCAATAATTTTTAATAATTAAATTAAAAAAACTCAAAAAATCCTAATGATCTCAAACTGATAACTTAAATTTTATTTATGTTATCCAAATAATAAAAAGTTACCTATATTAACTTTAAAATAACAAAGTGTGCGTCTATGCGTTGTGGAATTTTGGTAATTCTACTATAAATACCGAGGGAGTGGTTCTATCCCGCGCAAAACAGTTTTTTGCTATGTTGTACATTTGTAAAACGGAGACAACGCATGCGGGTATAGCGCCCTCTTAAGGATTGGCTGTTTTGTTAAATTTTTCTACTCAACTCATATTATACCGAACTTGCGCATAAGTTTATTTCTTCAGTAGGTACCTTAACCTACAGCTATTACTCACACAATTAGTTTGAATTGCATGCGCGTAAATTAACACTAATGTAACACATCCGTTTTGTGTACCTATAGTATAAAGATATTAAAAATATTTCAATAACAAAATTAGAGATCTCAAGGGGTACACGATGTGTAAAGGGGGCTAGGACATTTTACAGAAAACAGCGGAGGATAGGGCAAAAGTACAAGTACAATCGAAATAATATCGAGTTGCATATTATAGCCATATATATACAAGTACGAGATTTTTCGTCGCAATAGGAATAAATAAAATATTTAATGAATGATAATATTATTGTCATTGGAGTACAATAGCACAAAACAATAATATTGGTTTAGTGTAATAGTTCGGTGGGTATAATCGGCACCCGGCGGTAATATTGGTAAAATCGACAGACCGTGCCCACGGGACTCGCCGACTGCAACGACGAACGGACGCATATTTTTACCTACGCGCGCCGCCTTCGCTTGTTCGGCGAGTACGGCAATGCGGTGGTAATAAACCCGCAGCGGTAGCGACGGATGGCGGTCGGTACTCGCGGTACACAGTACCTACGACGGACGCGCACGCACGAATCATGGCTAGATGATCACGGGCGGGTGGGGATGGAGATCGTTTCTTCCGTACTGGAACGTTTCGGTCGCGTCGAAAACTCCCCCGTGTTGTAGGGGGGAAGGGTTGGCGGGACGTGGGATATGATAATAATTTTAGTCGTTTTCGTTTTCTCGCTACCACCGCAGTCCGGTCGTATTATCACTATTCACTGCGCGTCTGCGCGACGGAAACACTACAAAAAAAAAATAATACGCTTTCGCGCGACATAACGGGCGAGCGAGCGATATCGTTCGCTTTATCACTCCCTCTCACTCTCTCTCTCTTTCCTCGGAACTCGGATCTCTCTCCATCTCTGACTGTTTACAATAGACATATTAAATAAATAATAATAATATTATCTCATCGATTCGTGAAACTCAAATATACACAAGTACACAACACACTCACACACACACACACACACTTAACTTACTCGCAGCACGCACACACAGTACAAGTCGTTTCGTGCAACATCGGTCCGGCGGTCTCGTCTTCCGCCGTCGTCTAGCGCGCTCCAGCACTCGGCACTATTATAATAGACAATAGTCAGCTGCAGCTGAGCAGCTCTCACTCGCCGAGCGCCCTATAGCACGTCGACCCTCGGGGGGGCATCGCGCGAGCAGCTCACTGCCACACTATCACAAATTCACAACCGCCCAACCGTCGCACACCTCGCCCCGCGACCGTTGCGCGCGCGCGCGCATGAAACGTTACATTATTATTGTACGTGGGTACCTACCGTCGTCGTAACGCGACCGATCGTTGTCGACCGGATTTTCGGATACCGCCTCCCGACCGCCGACGGCCGACAGACGACAGTCGTCGCGTACTCGCGTGCACTCCACACACGTCGCCCGTACAATCGATATCGGTCGCCGAGCGCCGCTCATTTTCACCCCCTGGGTTTTCGCCTTTTCGGTTTTAACCCTATCGGCAGCCCCCCCTACCCCCTCTGAACATTGGCGATTTTTTTTTCGCACGCAAACGTCACCGATTATTATTTACCTATTATTACCATCATAATTATCGGTTTAATTCACACGGGGCTGCACACACGCGCACGCACCAGCTATTGCAATAATAATTTATCATCGTTATCATCGTCCGGTAATAATATCATAATAACAGTGGTTTAATGTGATCGGATGTGGACCACGAAACGACGTCGACGGATCTTCGGTGTTCTTATGGTGCATCAACAGCGTTGAACAGTCATCGTCGTCGTCGTCGTCGTCAAGCAGCAGTTGCGAAAAAAGTCTCGAGCCATGGACCGGGCCGACGGATCGAGAAATTTCGCTGGCAACCCGGACATCTGTTCGCAGGTAAAGTCATCGGTTTTTGTTCGTTCTCATTTCGTTCCGTCCGCGCTACCCGATAACGACTGCGCGCGCTGTAAAGACGTTTATCCGTCAACCGAGCGATTGTCACTCAAAGCGACCATAATAAACGCGTCTTTAGGTTTCCCTTGAACTAGCTAGGCAAACGAGTATCGCGGTCGATGCGCGTGACCTAGGCACGTATCGATACGACAGTGATGACATACCTGCTCCGACTTTTTCCTGGTTTTGCTCAGTGCCCCAGACATACGTAGCTCGACGAGACACTTGGTTCGACAGAATAGATAGAAAATTTTTTGATCAGTGACCGGCTCTGTTCATAGTTTTTTTTTTCTGTTCTTCAAACGCGCTCCCCGGGGAAGACATGAACGACTCTGGCTATCTGGTCCGCGATCTGGTAAGGTTCAATGACTCGGTGTGTTAGGACAGGCACCGAGCTTTATCTATTCTTAGTCATTCTTTGATCCGCTAGTGGTGGTGGTCTCGTATTTTTATTCTCCCCGGATGTTGGTATTTTGCCACCTGCCGTCTCATCTATTTCTTCGGACTCGACAATATGACCGTTTCGTACGATTGATCATGATGCTCAGTTCAGTATTGTTCCAACTATTGAATGACCTTCATTGGCACAATATTAGACTCTTGCTTAATGTGTTGTTTAAATGGTTAGCTAGGTTGAGAAACATACATTTAAACATGTTGAAGTTACAGAATTCCTATTGATCTAAATACCTATCTACCCATCTATTTTACCCATAAAATTGCTTTATTAACTAATTTGAAATTTGGTTTTCTTCAAATGTTTTACTTACCTACTAACAATATTATCAATATTAAGAAAATATCTATTTAGGTAGCTGTTTTAAATCCTATGTACCTATATATTGGGTATATACATCGGATAGGTAATGCTTGTATACTGTCATACTGATTGAACATACATTTTTATGGATTTAACAATACGTAGACACCATTGTTAAATCTAAATTTACTGATATATAATCAATAAAATGATATTGTCGATTGCCACATCATTAGTCTTGTAGGTACCTATTAAGTTTTTTATTCAAAATGTCCTTTAATTATATTCACTCGTACTGTATCTGATTAAATAATTAAAAACATAATTTCAACTCCATTGTTAGATGCCTAAGTAATATGTTTAATCAAGTATTCTTATGAATTATCTATTAAGTAGGTAATTTTGATTCTAAATATTTAAAATAAGATGTAATTAGGTAAGTTAGCCAAGTAATGTATCTAAAATAATAGTCTATAATTTTGTATAAATTTGTACATTGTTAATACCTAGGTACCTACATTTCTTTTTTGAGTATGAGACTTATTCATGAAATTTAAATTTCTACATGGTTTATGAATTTGTTTTACCTACTCATAAAATCAATTACAGTATGACATGCCCCATTTAAGTAATTACTGTTTTATTTTCTGTAGGTTTCAGTTTATTATTTTGTAAATAATTACTTAGAACTATTTAGCAACTAACTAGGTACTTATGTTTAAGGTCTCATGTCAAATATATCAACTGGGAATAAAAGTTTTGCGTATAATTTTATAAATAAAATTATTGATTTATATTTAAAGCGGGATTTAAAGTGTTTTAATTGCATAACTAAGTATAATATAACATATCAACATAATATATCAAACTGTACCCATACGGTTTAAAAAATTTACATTTTAAACTAATTTAAACAATAAACTAGAACTTAGGTATTACTTATTAGGCCTGGATTGACAAATGGTTTTAATATTAAGTTAGGTACCTACTTTGTTAGACAAGTAAATATAAATGTATATTTAATTGTTTATTATTTATTAATTTTTATGTGGATTATTATTTCCTTTATTTTGATAATTTTCAGTGGCGTGTATCACCAAAAAAAAAATGGTGTTGCTCAAATAATTTTAGGTGACCTATTAGGTACTCATAATATTGTTATATTAACCTATAAATGTCCTATTTTTCTTCTATCAATGTCCACCCATATTTAAGGTGTTGCCCGAGCAACACTTAGACCCTATGTTACATGCCACTGATATTTGTTATCTGAATATAATTATTTAGAACTCACAATTGAATTTGTAATTGGTATGAAATAACCAACAAATCAACATAGTAACAATTATAGTGAGTATTCAAGGTTAAAATATTTAATACTCGTGTAGGTACCTAACCAAATTTCTTATAATAAATCTACTGTTTGATATCACCTTAGATTATTAAGTACCTACCAAACTAATTAAGTAATAGTGTACTTATTTAAAGATGTGTACCTACGACCTACCTATTTTTTATAACAAATATTAAATATTAATTAAAATTATTACTTAACTAAACACACTAAAAATATAAAAATTAAATTATTTGCTTTAGTTCTTTTTCTTAGTGTCCTAGGAAGTAGCCTATCTCTGATGAGCTGATGAGCTGACCCCATGTAGACTGTATCAACTTCAAAACATATACAAACATTTTATATTTGGTCAACAGCAATTTGTGTTAATTGTATAAAATGTTAAATTTAAAATGTAAAGTACCTATAATTTTGAATCTAAATATAGTATATACAAGTAAAAACAAAATCATATAAAAAATAAAAAATATAGGTGTTATAGTTCTTTGTCACTATTATTTGGTTTATTCAAAAATATAAATTTGTTATAAAATATAGTAATGATTAAATTTTGAATATAGGTGTATTTTTTTTATACAAGGACATAAAGAATTATGGTTTTATAAATTTGGTTTTATAAGTAAGGACATAGAGATTTGAATAAAAAGTATAGTTTTATCCATATTAGTGTAACCTAACCTACTGCCATCAAGAATACACATTATTGTTTTTATTGTAATTGCCTGCGTTTGGGTCATAGTTTTAATATCTTGACTATCATACATAAGGGTTTTCATTATTAATCATTTACACTGTTAATACAAGGATAGGTAATTGCATATTTACACTGTCTGCCCAATTAATCCAAACACAATGTTATTTATTGATTTTAAATTTCTAAACTTTATTTATTTTTGATGTGTTAATTTTAATTGAGATCTCAATGTTATAACAAGGTGTATGAATGATTAGGTATAACTTATAAGTATCTAGTTAATACATTTTTGGTATATAGGTAGGTACTATCTGTACCTACTAGTTTACTTAATTATTTTATATGCTTACTATTTATTATTAACCTAATTCTCTTTATTGTTGCATTTTGTATGTACGATTATTATTATATTATTAGTTGGTTATTGTTTTAATCTTTGAGTTGTAATTACCTAATATTGAACAAATCCCAAATTGTATATAGGTACCTATAATAATTATATATGTTTTAATTAAACAATCTCCACCTACATAGATTAATCATATTATAATGTATGTTTGAATCAACTGCAATTATATTATAAATAGGTAAATCAATTTATTGAAGCTTCTACTATCGAATCTACTGATGAAAAATATTTAAAAAAAATATAGGTAATTCACTTAAGTAATTTCTTATATTTTTAATATTTATGATTATAGATTAGTCAATTAGTATAATAAATCTCATTAAACATAATTTTTTCAATATATGTAGGTACATTTATTATACTAAGAGTTAGTATTGATTGGCATTTGGCAGGAAAAAAACTATTTAGGTACCTACCTACTAGTTTTATTGTTACATTTTTATATTGTAAATTGATAGTTGTAAGATAGGTTATTTTTTTGTTTCAGAAAATCTAATTTCGGGTGTGAAACTTCCAATACCTAACCTTGGTTATTGCATATCTTATTGGACATATGGTTAGGGACTGATTAACAGAAATTGAGTCCCACTAGGGATACTAGTCCATGCGTCCAGATTTATGAGTACCAAACATAATTTACAAATATAGAGAAATCATTTCTAAATAAGGTCTTAAATTAATATAACTTAAATATTAGTATCGTATAAACTGTTGTTACTATACTGTATCATTATAAAGGTTTTGCACCGTTATGTTTATTTTAAAAAACGTTAATAATGATCTTTATCGCTTATCAAGGAGGACATTTATTGATAAATACTTAAGGTTATATTTGTTATATTATATCAATTAAGTTTAAACCTTTGATAGAAGCAGAAACTTCCCAAGAATTACTTCATTATTCTTCAAAAACCGCGACCTCATATTAAGTTAATACAGGCATGTTCCCGGGCATGTTTAATTTTTTAAGCGAGAACGGGCATAAAGATGTATGATTATACAAATCACAGGTGGAAATAATCATTATTGGTCTTTTAATTTTAAAAATCAAAAAAATCATTTAAATGTTTATAAGAAAATTTAATAATGTTAAATAATATCATGAGTCCTATTTTAGCAGTGTGCTTAATGAGCTAATGCTGATGAGCTAATTGGCAATGTGCTAATGAGCACATTGGATCTGAGTAATACAACAAATCAAAATAAATTTAAAACCTTTTTTTATTTCGATAAAATGTGTAATTTAAGATTTTGAAATTAAAAAAAAAAATGTCTTGTAAATTTAACAACTAGGTAGGTATCTTCATAATTTTTAGATATTTTTTGATAAATGTTATAAAATGACTTAAAATGTATCACTACATTTTGAATAAAGGTCATGACTCATTATATTCATGTATGGAATGATCACTTCAAAATTTGAAAAATGTCACAGTACAGAGCTCATCTCATAATTACTTTTCAAATGCTATGATTATTGGTTTTATAATTATTTTTGTTTTTAAAAATAAAAAAAAAATAAAAAATTTATTTTCGAGGAGATGAACAAAGTATGGATCCGGAGTATGGATCCAAAGTATTATCCGGTAGGTACCTATCTTATCAATGTGTATATTGTCGGTGTTTTACTTGGGATGGCCTGGGAGAAAAATTTAGGCCGGGAAAATGTATCCATGCCACATTTCTATGTCTACGTAATAGGCGTAACTATTTGTGGGTTTTGGTG